GGGTCCAAGATATTTGTCACATATTTTCTGATATACTTCTTTGATCATCAGATGTTTATGGGTTTGGGTTGTTAGATGTAAAATCATGTTTTTCACTCTCTGAAAAAAGGACATCTTATCAGTCAAACCAGATCCTGTTATAGGAATATAAGATATGGGTGAAGGGGCAATGCCGAAATGAGCCTCTCCAGCTATTAGCCAGCGAACATTATAAACCACAGGAAGGTTCAAATATTTGGCCAAAATGGGTCCACCTCCCCAGCAGGGATCAGTGAGGACCAGATCAAACTTGGTGTCCTTCAACATTCTCAACAACTCTTTGTCATCCAGCACCGCTGATGCAAATTCACCCACAGCTTCGTGAATCTCAGTAAATGTGCTGAACATGCCAACAGACAAATAAAGAAAACTGACTAAGGGAAGAGCTCCCCGTTCATATTCCATGATCTTAAGTATGACTCTTGTGATGAACTCCTGATCAAAGCTCCTCTCTACTGGAACTGTATAGGAACTGTAATAAGTGGAGTTGTCCTTGATGTACCAGCTTTTGCTGGAACGCATAACCGTTAGATTGTGACCTCTGGAGTGCAGAGCTTGAAGTAGAATATCCATGTTTATCCAGTGGCTGCCTTCAGTAGGAATTACCAAGATGTTTCCACCTTGACAGGTTCTGGGAAGAAGGATGAGCAGCAGCAAAGCACTGCAGCAATAGATCAGCCTCATCTGGAATAGAAACAACAACAATCAGTTGACTAAACTGAGGAATGTCATTACACTATAACTGTACTGGGATCATGTCAGACTAACTGCATGTTAACTTAGTCAGCTAAATTTCGACAATGATGCAATTTCAAGCATCTGCACCTACTTTCACATTCTTACCTTCCTCGTTTTCTGTAATTATAGTTTTTTCACCGCACTAACACAGAGACATGCTGCTTCTATTGAAAGTGAGTTCTTTTGACATGTAAATGTTTTAGTCTTTAAAATGCACATCACAGCTTTTTGCGGAGGGTTTCCATTGTACGTACTTCTCCACGCACACAGTCAATCACTGAAGCTCGTTTTTATTAAATTACGATTGTTTGCAAGTTACAGCAAGTCTCATTCACAAAGTGCAGCAGCAGTTTGACAACCTGTCCTCTGCTGAGCGAGCTGTAACGCTGACTTGTAACACTCGCTTACATTCAGTACAGTGAGAATACAGTCACACAATCCTAGTGGAAAACACTTCTACTCACCGTAGTCTGTGTCATTTCTCCGCCCAGTGAAAATCACGGAGATAGAAAACTGTTTCGTGCACCACCAGCACCGCAGACCAGTCTGTTTACCTATTCCAGAGAGGAGGAGCTGGAGCAGGAAAAAGGAGGCGCTAAGACCCAGCGGAGCCTTGGCTAGAGAGCCTCCTGAAAAGGAAGTGGATGAATCTGAGAGCAAAGATCTGCAACAACCAGATAAGAGATGGATGAGGTCAGTGCATGAGCTGCATCTGATTGCCGTGGATCACAGATCTTCGCAAGTTCGGACTTCAAAGTACATAATCAATTGAAAA